CAGAGGCAAAGTAATGCTCATCAAACTAATGTAGTTGTTGTGGATGCTATGTGGATGTGTTCTCTTGCTCAGTTCGTGCCCTTCAAGAAACAATATTACCGCTACATGATGAGAGAGAAGGATACAGTGCAGGAGATCAGCTCCATCTTGAAGAACAGCGGCGTAACAGATGAAGCATCATCACAACACAGCATACGGAAGCTTGTTGTGTAAGTCTCAGTTTCTTTATATTTCTATAATAAGAAAATCGTTACAATGCTGTTAAATATATACACAAAAATTTGTCACATAAAGGGCTCAACTGATTCTTTCCATGACTAGAGAATGTAAAAAACAATGTTAAAATGACATTTTCTACTAAAGAAGCACAATGTGTTCAGCAAACTCAAAGATGTCCCGTTGCTTTCGTTTTAGTACTTTTCAAATGTAGAAGTTTTAAGTTTTTGTCTGACCTCAGTTTTAGTATAGCAACCAATTGTGAGTGTCAGATGGCTCACATACATTTTTAAAGTGTTCACTGAGGTAATTTTCTTGTATTTGTGTGTGTTTTGATCAGTTTAATGGCTGAACACAAGGTTGGAGAACGAGTGAAGCCAGCAAACATCCTCGAGTGTGTAAAGAAACATCGACTTTTCCCTCAAGCTGAGGCCTCCATCAGATTACGTATTCCTCAAATTCCGAAGCTTAACCTTGGCATTGAGGTATGAAGCACACACAAAGACACATGAAAGATCTCTGGCCCTTTGGACCAAATATGGAGTTTCTTGTGTCTGATCTCCAGGGTCCTAACCCGTACGCAGCCATGGCCGTCATCTTGATCCTGAGCGAGAGTGTTGGTGATGTGCAGGCCTTAGTGTCTCTGCTCTCCGGCTGCATGTCTCACACAGCCATCACAGAGTACCTCAGCCACATGGCCATGATGTTACTCGCTGTAGAGAGGACCAACATCCAGATTAGCAACAGGTAAGACCATCAATTATCAGCATCTATATTCACACATCAGTGTTCCCTGCCTTCTCATGCTTTTTTTTTTTTCTGCCCCCTCAGGTTACATTACAACATCTACTACGTACTCCACCTGATGCAGAACGGTCCCTTTTCTGTCAGCTCTGGTCAGAGCGGGTGAGTTCAAAATGCATTAGTTTCACTGAGAAATAAGTGCTGAAATAAATGTTTGATCTCTCTTAATTTATTAAGAGGAAAAGACCCATTGAAGGTTTAATGGGGGGAAAGAGCAGATGCAGTGGATGTTAGGTTTGAAAAGTCTTAGAGACATTTGGTGGACTCAGTCTGAAGAAAGGATCATACATTTTTTCTTGTCTGCCATAGAAGGTAACATTGGTCAGTTTATTTTGTGTGTGACAGGAACTGTAGCAAGACCTCATACATACATCTCTAAATGACAAGTTCTATTTGTTTTCAGCCAGCAACAGCAAAGCTGTAGCAAACGCTGTTGCTAATCGAAGTCACAGTAGCTCTAACTGAGATTGTGATGCCATTGTTTACAGATACCTCTTCATGACAGTTACCAAGTTATCATTGTTGTATATGGCTGGAAAACACTGATAGAAATAGAATAGTAATGTCAATAAATTCATGTACTTGTAAATACCTTGTGTAATTTGACTGGTATGACCACCAAGAAGATGAAATTGAATTATGTGTTGTAGAAAAAGTTTCAAATATCATTTGGTACAAGCTGCAAAAACACTGTTTGTTTTGTTTACATTGGACAGCATACTCGCTAAAATGTGCTTTATTTTAGAGTCTCCATACATGTACTTTAGAAATAAAGGCAACACTGTTATTGGCAATTTAGAAAACTTTATATCAGCAGTAATCAGGAGGTTTTACACAACTGAAGAACATCCCACTATCACCAGCTAAGTCACCACAAACCGTCCTTGCTTAGATCAGTTTTGTTGTTTGTATGGTGACTGCTGCAAAATTATATCACACTCTCCAAGTTCAGACACTTTTCTGTCTTGTTTTCTGGTTCTTATGACACACTACAGGACAGTCTCACAGTTTACCAAATAGTACAAGACTGATGCTATTTTCCCAGATTTACTGTGTTTCACATGCTGTATGTGTCTGTATGTTTGTGTGTTTCTGGCAGGCAGCCCCAGGTTCGCCTCACATGTGAGCAGCAGCAGGTCCTCGGCCACGACATCCAGGTCGACCATGTGGTGAAGATAATGGCGTTTGCAGGTACAGAGAATTTACAGAGAGCCACTGCTGCTCATTCACACTCCACAGTCCTTTAAAATAGGTTTTTACTGAGCAGCACAGTGACAGATGAGAGTCAGTTTAACACACAGCCCGTTCTGGGAAACTGTAAATGAAATCCCTCAATAATTCTTCCAGATGTCAAGTACAGAGTGATATGTCTGGTGATGATTAGAAAGTGTACAGTGAGCATGTAAAAATGACAAGGATGGGGGCGCCACTTTAGCTCACCTGGTTGAGCTGGCGACCCATGTTCAGGGGCTGTAGTCTCCGATGCAGCGGCCATGGGTTCGAATCCCACTCATGGCCCTTTGCTGCAACCCATTCCCCCTTTCTCCTCCCCCACTTTCCTGTCTCTCCTTCAACTGTCCAATCTAATAAAGGCAAAAAAAAAAACTTTAAAAAAATAAAATACAAAAAAAAAAAAAAAGGACAAGGACCCTATCCTTGTTACGATTAAAGAAGTTGTACAGACAGTTTTAAAAGGCCAACTTAGTATTTATATCTGAACACGGGATGAAGAGAATGAAGCTTTTACCCCTCTATATATTATTTCTATATAACAGAATCATAAATTAATCTGACCTGTCCAGGGTGTCCCCTGCCTTCGCCCTAAGTCGGCTGGGATAGGCTCCAGCCCCCCCGCGACCCTAATGAGGATTAAGCGGAGTATAGAAAATGGATGGATGGATAAATGAATCTATCTGTACAATCTTTGAAGCATCACCAGGGGGCGTTACTTGTCCTCTGTCTGTACCATCCACCATTCTACATTCTTATGTTATTACTGTGAAAAGACAGGTTTCTTTAAGCTACATGTTGTTTCTGAATTTAATTGAGAATAGCTTCAGAAACACACTGTTGTGTTTATTTCATTGTGTCCAACAGTTTGATTTCATTGTACCATTAAACTCTTTGTTACCTTTCTCCTTTATGAACACATTTATCGGTGTTCAGTAAGAAGCAGGCTGACTCTACCAGGGTCGTCTCTGAGTCAAAGTGTTAAATGTGCCATTAGATGTGTGAGATAAAATAGCTATATTTATCAGTGTCAGTGTTGTAGGTGTGATGGAAGCTAACTTACTTACGAACTCACCGACGCAGGTACGGGGAAGACGACCACGCTGGTGAAGTACGCTGAGCAGCGGCCACACCTCCGCTTCCTCTATGTGGCTTTCAACAACTCAGTTGCTTGTGAGGCCCGCCGCCGTTTCCCTAGCAACGTGGACTGCAAAACTGTCCACTCGTTGGCCTTTAGCGACATTGGAATCAGGTGAGAATAGATTTTCAGTTTCTGTGTTCACAAACACATACTGTCAACAAAAGAGGGGACTTTGAGTGCGACCCATTTAGTTTTTTAAGTCTGGGATCTCATAAATTACAACTTCATTCTACATGTTTGACACTTAGTGCTGCTGTCCTGCTGCATCACACAACTTCTACTGAGCTCCAGCTAACCTGACATTGTTCTGATAAACTTCATTTCTTATGCGTCAAAGCAATTCAACAACAACATGTTCTCTAAACCGTACTTCACCTGTGGGATCATATGGTCATTTGGTATGCATTGTCGTGTTTACAGTATTTATAGTTCTGTGTGTTTCACCAGTCCACGAAAACATTTCACCCAGTGCATTGTGGTGTCACAAGGTGCTCTTTAGCTGACAACAACTGAACTCTTTGACGTGACTCTGCCACTTGTCCCAGTTTTAAACAATCAAGCTATTCTTGATAGTCAGTGTTGTGAGATATTTTTTATATGTATCATGGGTCACATCAACAGAATGCTCAGGAAATAGGTTTTTATGTGTTAGAGCTGCTCTAACTCCAGATTCCGACCACTGTTTCTGATTTCTGCCCTCAAAACTTTGCATGTTCGTATCTGTTTGACCACCAACAGTAAATGGTAAACCGTACACTAACCATGACTGTAGCTTGCTGTCCCTTATGTCTGTAACAACCCCTCTTTTTCTTTCAGTGTATCGTGTATATTCCATTTTTAAAGCTAATCGCTTGTGGTATTTCTGTGATCTTCTCTGTGGCAGGTATAAAATCTGTAAGAAGCTGACCCCTAACCTGAAGCCATTTACTGTCAGCTTTGTTCTGCCTAAAGGCCGCGGTGGCTTTGCCAACGCCAAAGTGGTAACCACAACTCTCAACACGTTCATGGCCTCAGCAGACCAGACCATTACCGCCAGCCACGTCCCCGACAAGCACACAAGTCGACGCGGCTCGGAGAAATACATAACTGATGATGAAAAAGTGGTATGAACATGTTAATATATACAACATGTTTCCTATCAGGTGATTTGAAAAATGAGCATTGAAATGACAAATAAACCGTCTGCCTTTTACTTTAAAACCGTAGTTGTTTGTCCGGGACGCACAGGTCATCTGGAATAAAATGAAGGAGCTTCAAAAGACTTCACAACAAGCCTTTTACATGACCCATGACGGTATGCCAACTGTAAATGAGCAAAGTCAACATGAGTAATTCTGATGTAATCTGTGAAGAAAGGCTGCTCAGATGTTCACTGGAACATTTCATTCCAGGTTACCTTAAGCTGTGGCAGCTCCAAGACCCAAAGCCTTGCTTGTCTGACATATACGATGCCATTTTCATCGATGAGGCCCAGGACTGCACTCCAGGTACTGAATTATTCATCGTCATGCATTCTAGCATGATTGTGGTAAACACAACCGATGATGCCTTTGCTTGACTTTATAATGATGTCCTCCTCCTTTGTTCCATTGCAGCCGTCATGGATGTGCTGCTGTCTCAGCACTGTGGGAAAATCCTGGTTGGAGATCCTCATCAGCAGATCTACACATTCAGAGGAGCTGTGAATGCCTTGCACATGGTCGATCACACACACATCTACTACCTGACACAGGTATACACAAATACACAGAGGCTACGTTTAAACAAGAGCAGTTAAAGTCAGTGACTTACTTATTCTGAGAAATGTATGATTATTTAGTAGATGCAGCTTTGGTCATACTTACAGAATTGAGCCTGTGTGGATGGGTCTCAGGCTGCAAGGTGGCTCGGTGGTTAGCACCGTTGCCTCGCAGCTAGAAGGAGGACACCCGGGATCTTTCTGCGTGGAGTTTGCATGTTCTCCCCGTGCAGCGTGGGTTCTCTCCGGGTTCTCCGGCTTCCTCCCACACAGTCCAAAAACATGCTGAGGTTAATTGGTGATTCTAAATTGTCCGTAGGTGTGAATGTGAGTGTGCTTGGTTGTCTAAGTGTAGCCCTGTGATAAACAGGTGAGCTGTCCAGGGATAAGCTCCAGCCCCCTGTGACCCTAGTGTATAGAAAATGGATGGATGGATGGATGGGTCTCACTCGCCTTCCACATCTCAACACTGCATATTCACCCCTTTTTTCTGTGCAAAACTGCTTAAGCTCCATCAGGTTATACAAGGATTGTGAGTCAACAGCCATTTTTGATATTACTTTGCAGAAATCTGTTTTTACTTTCACATGAAAGAGTCTTTTTTTGGGGAAACATTTGTCAAAAAAGCCACATTAAATTGACAATGATTTTGTGGTGAATAACGATGGAACTTCCAAAGGAGGAGGAATATATTTCAGAGGCAGTTCATATCGTACTGTGCTGTTTCTTGTAGCCAGTGTTATTAATTATAGCTGAAGCACAAGCAGTCAGCACATGTAAATATTTAGTGAAAGAAAAAACGAGTCGAGTCCATCTGAGATTTTCAGGTTGTAGCTGGAGAATAATGCTGACTATGTTATTGTTGTGGTCTGTAGTTGTGTGTTTTCTCTGTTTCTGAGTCAAAATGAAACTGGATTAGACAAATGAACAAGAAAGGGAAAAGAAAAGAAAAGAAAATAATAACCGGCTCATTAAGAACAATGTTTTTCCCACAGTGTTAAAAGTCATGCTGTGTTATAGCAAAAGATTTTTTTGTCCCATCAGATAAGATGACCAGTAAGAAAAACAACAGAATGGATGTTAAAAAAACTTCAACATAGCCTCCTTTGTTAGCCTCGCCTACAACTCCACCAGGAGCCCAGATGTCTGAAAGTCGATCAGAGATGTGCATGAGAACTGTGTGATAATGTGATTGTTGCATCAGACTGCATCAGTTTTAGACAGGTGGACCTCATAACCTAGTAGATTTTTATTTGGAAAATCTGTTGATATGTTAGCAAAAAAATCAGTAATTGTGATTCAGATTAGAATAGAATGTGTGTAGTACCACTTTTATGTCAAATGATGGATAGCATGAACAGTAATCATGCACTTCAAGTCACATATACAGCACATATTTCTAAGTTTTACTCTTAGCTGTTAATCAGAAATGTAACCTACATGCCACTGATGTCTTTGTCCAGAGCTTTCGATTTGGTGCAGAGATCGCCTATGTGGGTGCCACCATCCTCAGAGTTTGCAAGGGAGTTAGAAAGATTCTTGTTGGAGGGATGCAGAAAGGTAAATACTGCAGATGGTGTGCCTTAAATGTTTTGTCTTCTTATAAATGTCGGGTTTTAAAACAATTGAAAACTATTTAAAATGTTGAGAACTGTAATCTGAGAATGTTAGATTTTCACAGGCTTGTTCCTCCTGTACGTTCTGTAGGTGGTGTGTGTGACGAGAATGCAGACAGGATTCTCGAGTCTGTGAGGACGGGTGCAAGTCACAGTCGAGGGAAGACAGCGATCCTGTCGAGATGCAACTTGGGTGTGTTTGCTGAAGCTGTCAGGCTGACTGATGCCAACCCAAATGTTCGGATCCATTTCATAGGCGTAAGTATTCATAGACTCGTACACAGAAGTAGGTCCAGGTGTATTTTGGGGCTGCTGTGGCTCAGGAGGTAGAGCGAGTCAGTCAATGATTGGAAGGTCGGCGGTTCGATTCCGTCCTGTAACCTGTGTCATGGTCGTTGTGTCCTTGGGCAAGACACTTCACCCACCTTGCCTGGTGTGAATGTGTATGAATGGATTGTTGAGGTGGTGGTTGGAGGGCAGAATGGTAGCCACGCCTCTGTCAGTCTGCTCCAGGGCAGCTGTGGCTACAATCATAGCTACCATCACCAGGATGAATGTGTGTGAATGAATAACTGACAGTGTAAAGCGTCTTTGAGTGTCCAGATTATTAATTATTATAATTATTCTTTTACATCATGAAGCCATGACATGATATGTTTGACACTGCTGGTCCAGTTAAATTAAATAGGGTTGTTTTCACTCGTTATGTCTGTCTGAAATAAGATAATGTGCACTATTAAAGAAGCATTTCATTATATGACATCAACCTTTTCCTGTAGGATGTCAAAAACATAGGCCTAGATAGGATCCTGGACATCTGGCACCTGATGCAGGAGGCACGGCAGGATCTCCAGAAGCCAGACCGAAAACAAAGAGGTAGGACTCACGCAGCACATCTACAGTTTGAGGTGCGATCAAAAAGTTCTGAGACTGTGCTTCTAAAAGTGAAAAACAATTTGGCCACTATCCCTTTCAAAGCAGGCTCCTTGTGAAGCAATACAACGCTTCCGGCACCCCTGCACCGCCTGCAATGGGCGCTAAATCTCTTAAACTGTGTCAAAACAACCATCCTTCAACTTAGTGTTAAATTCATGACCAGAAAAGCACTGAGCAACAAGTGTTTTTGTGCTCTAAACATAAAAATATGGAACTCAGGATGACGCATGCAACCACTGCAAAATGCACGCCTGTTAGATTTCTATCCAACTTGATGCTGACTTGCCTCGATGTTTTGGAAACTTAATTAGTGATAACATCGTGAAATCAAGATAGCTGCAATTTTTAGAGCCAGATATCGCAGCTGCGGTTTAGGCACGGAACGTCTGACTCACCTGATCGTTTTAGATTTTGGCTCAACAGCATGTCGGTTATGTCCCACTATAGTTGATTTACAGGGATTCTACCAAAAACAGTCCCAAAACTCCTTATATGCCATATTTATCCTGCACTTCATTTGCTTTTGTTGAAAAGGACATACCATGCTTTTTGTGATTTAGAAGTCTGTTATACATGGTCAGGGGTTGGATTTAATCTCTCATTAAACCTTCCCAAAGCTTAAAAGGCAATTTCATCACATTCTAGATAAACTGGTATTTGAGTCATAGAAAAACGCATTCAGCAGAATGTAGAAAATGCCAAATATTTTCTACAAAAATAAATAAATTAGGTTGTCAATCAGACACAAGCACAAACGCATACAAGTGACGTCAATCCTCTGGTGCGTGTGAACCCTTAATGTGAGGAACTAGTCCTGTGGTTGCTCTGCTCAGGGCGCCTGTGTGAACTTGTACTTCTGCAACAAATAACCTTGGAACTGGTGACTTAAAGCCACTTCCAAAGAAAGGTGAGAAAGATCAAGTTTAATTTATTTGCACAGAAAAGACCATAAAATTCATTAGATCAGCAGAAGGTTTGGATGTTGTAGCCAAAATTAAAATGATTTAACCAACTAAAGGGAATCTGAGCTGATGATCTGTTGGAAGAATATTTTAAGGAAAATAAAATCAAAGAGTGGTCCTCCTAGAGCTCTGGTCTAAATCCTACAGAGCACTTTGGAGCTGTCAGAATAAGCCTGGTCAGTGTTCTAATGCAGCTCAGTGTGATGTTTAGTCAAACCACCGTCATCTAATGCATTAAAGTTTACACGTTTAAGTGGGCTTCAACATCCAATTACTTTTTATGGTCACTGTAAATACATTTATTTTTAACTGAAAATAATGCGTTGATATTGAAATCAATTCCATTTTTACTTCTACAGCACCAATTCACAACATGTGTCATTTCAGTGCATTTCACATAGTAAGGTGAAGACTTTGTAGAACTGTACAGAGAAACATAACAAATCCAGAGATTCCTTTGGATTCTCTGAGAACAGCACTTGGCAACAGTGGGAAGGAAAAACTCTCCTTTACCAGAAGAAGAACCCTCTGGCAGTAGCAGGTGGGCAGTTATCTGCCTTAACCGGTTGGAGTGAGAGTAAAGAGCAGAGAGAAAACAAACAGTGCATAAGAGAACAGTGAACGCCTGGGAGATCAGGAGAGAGATGATGGTGGTATGTAGGTGTACGAGGTGTGTCAGAAAAGTTCCAGGACTGGTGTCACAAAAGATATATTTCAAATCCAAACTACGAGTTTTCCGCTTCAAAGTAATCCCCCTGCAGTCTAACAAACTTCCCCAGCCTTCTCTGCCACACCGCCATGCACTCCTGGAAGGATTCTTCCAGGATGCGTCACAGCCATCTTGATGTCGTACACGTCTTCAAAGCGGATCTCCTTCATGACCCCCTTTAACTTGGGGAAGAGGAAAAAAAATCCCACTGAGCCAGGTGGGGTGAGTAGGGAGGTTGCTCCAGCACGGTGATGTTCTTCTCAGCCAGGAACTGTTGGATGCTCAGGGCATTGTGAGCAGGTTGTCATGGTGAAGCAGCCACGACTTGTCCTGACACAACTCTCACCTCTTCACTGAACGAAGCAAACGCTGCAGGAGCTCTTTGTAGACGTGCTGGTTGATCATCTGAAGGGGAAAACTGGTAGTTTGTAGTTTGGGTTTGAAATCTATCTTTTGTGAGACCAGTCCTGGAACCTTTCTGTCACACCTCGTATACAGAGAGAGAGGGGAGAGGAGATGTGCTCAGTGCTTTATGGGAAGTAGTCTCGGCTTATCGCTCGGTTTATAGCAGCATAAGTAACAAACGAAAAGCTTTTGGAAATACACACATACCAGTCATGTTCTTGGCATTAATGTTGAATTTGTTTTGTCTTTAGTCATAAAGGATCCCTTCATCCAGATCTTTGCGAAGTCGAAAGAGAAAGCCTTCTGGGCCCTGAAGGCGTACGTCACTCAGACGGAGGACAATGAGCTGGAAGGAAAAGTCAGCATTGTGGAAAAGTACAGAGATCGCATCCCAGAGCTGGTGATGCGTCTGAAGACGTGTTACGAAAGTGACTATCAGAATGCAGGTATCCATGCAGACCCCCACTCACTCAATGAAGATCGCTTTAATGTTTAACTGTTTTACATTTTTATTTTTTAGCTGCCTTCTCTACCTTGTTTTTTTAAATCTGTTTTGTTTTTAACTTGTTTTGTTCTTGTTTTTATCTTATCCCCTGTTAGGCGACTTTGAGTATCGTGAAAAGCGCCATACAAAATAAATGTATTATTATTATAGTGTAAACTTGGACAATGACTATCTCCCCCAAACAGTTTGTAAAAGTGTTTTTTTTTTTGACTTATTGAACTCTCAGTTACTGAAATGAAGCCCTGAATAGACTTGTTCTTAGGAAGCAAGGCGTGCCTTAAATAAATCAATGACTCATCTGCCTTATTCTGGCCACTCATAGTGATTGATGTAAAACCATCTGTTTTAGTCCATCTCTCAGTGTTTATCACTGAGCTCAGACCCACTGTGCTCCCTCTGAAGATGTCAAGTATTCAGACCTCTTCACTTTTCCCTCATTTAATGGTAAAAGTAAAAACTGACATATTACATTAACAAAGCTTTTCAGACCCTTTGCTGTGAAATGTAGCTGAAGTTGCCCTCTGTTTATTTTTGAGAAGTTTCTACAACTTGATTGCAGTAAATTCACGTGGACATGATTTAGAAAGGCACAAGTCTGTATATAAAAGGTATCCGTCACAATGACACTTCTACCTGTCACGTGTTGTACCTTTTATTCAAATTTTAGTCTAGTCTAATTTCCCCTTTTAACCCCCCAGAGGTTTTGGTCAGCACCAAAGGCAAATTAAACTTTTCTTTTAACAAGTTTTGACAAGCAGGGTTTCCATTTACTCAAACACTAAAGATATATTTGTTTATCAAATGTTCATTAAACAGGAAAACACTTTCAGATCAGGTTTCGTGTCCTGTGTGATCAACCACCTCGGGACCATTCTGTGTTTTTTTTTTTTGTTTTTTTTGACTCAGTATGACTTCACTTCAGCTGCTGTCAATGTGGGTTTTTCTGTTTAAAGAAGATTATTCTGGATTCCTGGAAAATTGCACATTGTTTCAGTAACTGTTTTCTCTCTCCAGACTTCATGGTTGGAACTGTCCACAAGGCCAAAGGGCTGGAGTTTGACACGGTGATGGTCACTGATGACTTTGCCAAAGGTCCCTCCTCCAGGCACATCCTGCCCCACATGTCTTGCTTCTCATTTGGTGTGTTTATTTCGAGGCTAACTTCCTTTTTTCTGCGTATTTTACGTCAAAGTTTTGTGGTGGTTGTGGTTGATTACCTGTTGATTACAGGGAAAAGAAGATATGATCTATGAAGCTTCTTTACGTAGTTTCTCTGTATTTTTCTCCCCACAGCTAGCATTCCAGATGACGAGTGGAACCTGATGTACGTGGCGGTGACTCGAGCCAAAACCTCTCTGATCCTCACTAATAACATCCGCCACATCCTCATGGTGGCTGGGGTAAGGATGCAAATGCACGATGCATGTTACTTCTTATTTAAATCGGTACTGCAGGTTCATTTATGCCCTTTAACACAGGGGTTCTCAACTGGTCTCACCCTGGGACCCA